CCATATCAGGTAAATTATATTATTAATGAAATTGATTCACTTTGTGAAGTAATATACTATTTTAATGTTAACATTTTTTAAAATAATATCCATCAATAAGTTATATCAAAATCAAAACACAACATACTCACTAATGTATAATGAATAATTTCATAAAAAATTAAAATAAATGATCATATTTCGTTTTTCTTAATTTACTTGTAGACGGATTCGTTACATTTTATTTAATGAAATTTTTTCATTGTTTAATGCGCTTATTAAACTTTATTATTATGCAATATCTAGTTTCATTATCCTCATTTGATATTGAATCTCATCCATTTTTTGCAATGATGAATCGATTTTGTCTATGCACCTGTTTCATTTACCATTTCATCAACTTAACCATTCACCTACAGCATCATTGTTCATGTCTTAAAACGGTTCATGATTATCATTTTCTAATCCTCGGTCTTCATATTCTTTTACAACCAAATACTTCTTGCAACACCTTTTTCAAAACCCTAAGTTTTATTTATCTTCAAACAACTATGATTTTAGAGTTTTCGATATTGTATTATATATGTAATAGTTAATATATCATTTAACCCCTCATTTATTCCTCAACAACCACTTGAGGAACGGTCGTGTGAGTCTAGGAGCTAAGATGAGAAGTATAACAAAGGATCTAGACTTTTGATCACTTCTAATCTCATCCCACCCCATGGATTACACTTCTCATGAGAATTGATCATCTGCATCTCGATGCATCTCATTTTGATCTCCAATTAAATTGATTCAAGGGTGGAGATTATTTTTCACCATAACTTTCATTCTCATCGGACCGAAACCAACTACAACCCTCAAAGTTGGAATAATTACAAATTAAACCCTCTAAAATACATGGTATCATAACAGGACCGCGGAAACTCATCCCAATCCAGGAAGCTGGTTACACACAGGGGTGGGCCTGCTTAACAACATACGGTGGCACGGACCATTACTTTTTTTTTTTTTATTAACCTGGATATCCAACCCATTATGCAAGCTGACTAATCCCAGGACGACCACCTGTTTTGCAGATAGCCCGAAATCACCGCATTTGAACCTCCGTGGCCACAAAGGGATTTTTATTCCTCCTTGGATTTGAACCTGTGACCTCCTGGTATATTTGACCTTTGCAGTCAAACTCAAACCAATCAGGCAACACACTTATGGTTGGACCACTACTTTATGGCTATGTTGTAATGGAAAAAATTGTGTTAATAATACATCATCCTCTTAACAGAAGCAGTTCTTCAAATAGCCATTTCTTAAATCAAACAAATGTAGATAACATGTGTGGTCTGCATTCTGTTGTAAGATACAGCAGCAACAGGAAAAACAAAAGACAGTTCCATGATTCCCAAATCCTCGTCTCCAAAAAATATCCTTCAAAAAATTTACTCTAAAGAAAACTATATACAGAAACTTGTAGCCCAATAATCTCTCTGAAGGTAAAGGCATTTCAGCTCTTCATTCTCAGGTGCATCATCTTCTTAGACTGTACCAAAATACTCAAATTCTAGCCTTGTTCAGTCGACTTAATGCTCTCTGTTGGAGAAATGGGAAGGGGGTTCGGAATCTTGAAGTTTTGTGTTTTCATAATTGAACCTATCAAAGCATCCATCTGGCTGCTGATCACAGCTTTGATGTGATAACCCTCGGCTTGAATCGCCATTTTTTGCGAAGAAAAGTAATTGCGAGTATCCATTTTCATCTCCTCATTTGTTCTGCACCAAATCATAACAATGTCTTAATCACCATGTTAATCAACAGAGATCATGTTTAGATAACGTTAGATTTTCTTGAACTTGGTTTACAAAACAAAACCAACTGAGCCAAGTAAATCACACACAAAGTAGGGTCTGGAAAGGTAGAATCTAAGCAGAACTTACCACTACACAACTTAAACAGCTTAATGAACAATTCAAACAGAAGATTCAGACAATATTACCTCATGATTAATTTCGAATAACCACCACATCCAGCTGATGTAAGGTTCTCAATAGTGACTTCTCGGAGTTTTTCAGGCTTTCTTGATAACAAAATCAATGGCCACCCATCAGATTGAAGTTTTAAGTACAATCGTATCAAGAAAACATGTTTCATATGCTTTGCCTCTCTGACACAATCATTGCAACCATATCGATTATACCTGCGCCATAGAATATAAAAAAAACAAAGGTTCATTCATTTAGTCCATTTCATTTGTGACTCCAATTGTTATGGAATGAAGATAAAGATAGAGGATTACCCGTACAACAATGGGTTAGTACGGAGACTGTCGTCAGGAAGGAAGTCATCGGTGTCCATTAACACCACATCACGACCACCATCATCTGGCGTGACGCCATTGAAGTAATTCTCGACCAATGACACCGAAATGTTCAACTCTCTCATGTAATGACCTTCTTTTATGTACTTAACAGCAACATCTTTACAAAATTCAGGTAAAGAATATCCTTCAAAGCTATTAATCTCCGAATGGAAAGCAGCCATTCTGCAATGATCATACTGATTATGATCAGATTTGAACGATTCAAGAACTCCAGCTTCCCTGCTTTGACATGATTGTAACATTACGGTCAATGCAATTAACAAAGTCATCAATAAGATCCCAACTATTACGAGTGAGCCAATGAAGATAGTTGCAGCACAAGAAGACATATAGATCACAGATTCCATTCTAAATTGGCTTCCCATATCTGCATCAACACAAGAAGAACAAGATTCAATGATGAATCTTAACCTTTTTGCCACAAACTTCATCAATTGGAATAACTATGCAATACCCATCTTTGGATGTTGTAAAACAGTAATTTTCATATCCAGAAATCATAAAACTGTAAGCATACCGGATCCTTCCGCACTTGTGAGACTCCGGGCCGAATACTCCCTTTCCATCTGATGGCCATATGCTGACATGTTGAGGCACTGGAGTTCTTAAATCTAAGACCAGACTTAAAAAATGCTCTCATATGTCACAGAAACCAACCTGCAAACAATAAATAATAAGCTTACAAATTCTACAACTCATAAAAGATTACAGGTTTATAAACAGATCAAATGATCAACCTACTTTTTCTCTAAATTGGACAGAAACAGAAGATATCCAGATCCAATTTTGCCTATTTATAGCGAAAACGTAATTAGATAAGCTACTTATCCAATTATCTTGAGATTTTAAAAGTTAGATATGGTCAAAGAGTTTCCTGGTTTGACGGATGAAGAAATTTCCATCAAACACATCCTAATCCAATACAATCGTCCTTCGTTATGTACGATTTGGATTTCTATACCCACAGCAACTTCAAATGTACCCAGAAAATAATTCAGATCAAATTTAGGCTAACCCGAAGAATCTAGCATTTAAGGTGTCAACGAATAAAAGGAACATATACAACAATCGATCACTATTCACTGTGATAATAATTTGATGAACAGGGAAATAAGTAGAAGACCTGATAGCGACATTGAAGACGGTCGAAGACGTAAAACGAGATTGAAGAAGTGATATGATGGACAAGTAACCTCCATAGAATCAAACGGTCAAATCTGATTTGCTTCTTTGAGAACTGGGTTTGAATGGAATTGGATATGGAGAAGGAAGCAGACGAAAGAGTGCAGATTGGTCTCCAATCATACACTGTAGCACACAGTTGAATATCGACATGAAGTATCTCGAAATTGGCTATGGATTCGATTTTCTTATTACTCGGATGATGGGTATATTTTTGGATCGTCTTGATTGCAACATGGTGGTGAAGCCTAGATGTGCTGCCACTAGCCACCAGCCCATTGGCCTCTCACTCTAATAATGCGTTTCTCGCGGAATCTTTCATTTATTTACTGGATGTTAACCATTTTAAAGTTTTACTGGTTTTATAAGATAAGATTTAATGATGATATATGTTATATTTGGTTTTTATATATTAATACAATTTGAATAAATAAGAGTTATGGTTCCAATTACAGACTATCGATGAAAAAAATTGTATGACAGTTTAAAATCCAATATATTTAAAATCCAACATATTTAAATGACTCCACATATGTGTTCGATTTACACCAAGAGCAAAGAACCAAGAAACTTGAGTTTTAAGATAAACACTTAAAACCAATAAAAAAACTACAAATTTGACATATCATAAGCCATGAAAAAACCAAAAAAGATGGGTTTTAGAATGAAATTTCAACTGCTTACCCTCTTTCTTGTCCAGAAGCTCAGATTAAGGTTGAATTAATACATGTATATATATATTTCAAAAAAACCCAAGAACATATTATACAATGTAATTTGGACAGCCTAACCCCAAAATATATAGTATATATATAAATAAATAACTATAAAAGTATAAATCATAAATATTAAAAATATTTTTTCACAGTATATATAATATATAATAATATAATTAAGTCAAAAACTATTCAATATTAGACTCATTTCGAAGGTATTAACGAGACGATTATAATGGTGTAACTTGTTAAAATAAAAATGTATTTCTTAAACATGTTTTAATTGATATACGATTATGTATGTTAATTTGATAAAAGTTTAAAATGAAACATTTAAAAATAAATGACGTAAAGTAAATTAATTAATTAATTATAGAGGTATAAAGTGTAAATTTAAAATTATAATTTTAAAAAAAATTGTGAGAGGGTGATTATATGTGAGAGAGGAGTCCGTGAAAAAGTGAAAAAGTAGTATAAAGGGTATCTTGGTCATTTAGTATTTTAAGACTTTAAGACTTTTGTTAAATTTGCTTAATAAGATAGTATAGATTTGAAATTGTGTTTAATTAGCAAAATCTGAATTCTATGCTCATCCAGGTCCTCTCTATTGAAAATATGCAACAAGTTGATAATACTTGAAAACTAATTTGACTATAAGAAACAAATATAGGGATATCTTTCATTAAATTCATCATTGGTTTGTTAGTTAGTTCATTGTTTTTCACATGTAAGGTACTATGAAAATGACAATAAAATGATTGGAACTCAGGTCTATGGTGGAAGAAAGGTCTTGCAAACAAACTCTACCGAGAAATACTTCTGTTCATATTGTAGTTTCAAAATATATATGATGATACAAAATAGAGTGATAAAGTGACACTTTTCACGACAGTATAAATTTTTACACTACGACGAATGAATGAAATGGTGACACGTGCCACCACAACCACTCCTGAGTACATCACTGTGAGATCTAGATCCAAATTACAAGTGAAAAGTTATGGTTTCATGATTTTTCAATGATATCAACATTGAGCATATTTGAAGTATAGAAAACTTCATGGAGCACATAACTCAAATTTTTCTTAAATAATCAAATCCCACGTATTTTAGATCATGATACTTAGGGGGCGTTTGATTCGAAGAATGGAATTCGATGGAATTGGAATTCATCAAATGAATTTGACTTTGAGGGAATGAAATGGAATCTGATGGAATTTGACTATGCCTTGTAATTGCGTTTGGTTGCATGAAATTGGATTAGGGAAAGAATCTGTAGGAAATGAATTGAAATCCTAGCATATTGTCATGGAATTGTAAAATCTGTGTGTGAAGGAATCGACTGGAATTGAAATGATTCCATAGTCTTATTCCATGAACCAAACACTCTATATGAAATTTGGTCAAATAATTGGACATTCCAATTTCTTTCAATTTCAATGATCCAAACAGCCCCTTATAGTTTAAAAAGATACAGTGTTTGATTGGATATAACTCAATAAAAAATAATTGATACCTAAAATACATCTTGATTATATTTTTTGTAATACATGTGAATCACGAAATTTCTTATAAATATTTTCATAATGACTCTAACTCTATATTTTAGTTATTAAACAATTATTAGAAGAATATTCGCACAATACAGCGGATATATCTCGATTTTAATATTTCGTTTTTTTTTCTCGGTCAATGTTATAATACAGTTTTATGTGGTTTTGAGAAAAAAATAATGTTTTTATTTTTCAATAAAACATAAATATAAATATATATCATACAAAACTGGGGAAAAAATATTGATATTGATACCAAATTAACTATTTAATTTATTTTTTTGTATATTTCTTTAATTTTTTTTATTTTTTGATATAAAAATATGGCTTTTTATAAATATAATAATTGAGTATTTCGTTAGAACTCAATGATTATCCTAATTATATTTTAGCTTTTTTTACATTTAAAATGTGACGTATATCCTCTATTTGATTGTGTTTATCTGCAGTTAGTTACACGAATTCAAACATGAAGCTTTAATAAGTTGTACATACGCATAATTTAATTATAATCTTGAATTTAAGTAATATGCATCAATAAACAGTACTTCATGCTTAAAAATAGTTTTTAATTTTTTTTATCAAATGGTTTATAATATAGCATAGATTGTATTTTATTCTAAAAAACATATGTTATATTTGGTTTAATATTATTAAAGGAATATTATAATTTTTATACGAAAAAAAAATCATATATTGTCGGGAAACATGTGAAAATACCAAAATACTTTTGATTCGTCAACATGGATACATGTCACTTAAATCACATGTTATTTTTAATATTTTTATAGGTTCTTATCCTTGATTTACATAATGGATGATACCTTTAAAAAATAAATATTTATACTATATTATAAAGTATTTGATAAAAAAATTTAAAAATTATTTTTTATGCATAAAGTACTGTATATTGATGCATATTACTTAAAATTCAAGATTACAAATAATTTATGCATAAGTACAACTTATTAAAGCTCCATGTTTGAATTTGTGTAATTAACTGCGAATAAACATAATCAAATATAGGATAAACATTTCATTTTAAAATATAAAAAATCTAAAATATAATTAAGATATATCGAGTTCTAACAAAATAATTAATTATTATCTTTATAAGAAAATTATATTATTAAACCAAATATAAATTATTTCGTTATTGAACATAAATTAAATTATAATTAAAAAATTAAAAAGTTACACAAAAAATATGAATTTTAAATAGTTAATTTGATACTAATATCAATATATTTTTGTCAAATTTTTATAATATTTCAAATTTATATTTTATTCAAAAATAAAAACATCATCGCTTTTTCAAAATCACGTAAGACCATGTTATAACATCGACTGAGATAAAGAATAAAATGAAATATTAAAATCAAGTTGTATATCGATGCATTGCGCGAGTATCCTTCTAGTTATATAATATGATAAATTCTTGGTACCAGTAATTCATTTTATCGGGTAAAATTCTCATTCTTTGTCATACTCATAATAAAATAAGTGATCCGGTAAGCACTTACCCGATTAGCATTTGGTAAATGGCCATTTGACGAGTAAAAACCATATGTTGCCAAAAAGATGTCACAATTGAACTACTTTTAGAGTTAGTGAATTATATATCATTAGAACTCCCCTGATCCCCAATTTTGGCTCCGTCCTTACAAATAACAGATGAATCTTTAAGACTTGTAAAAAAATTCCCATTATACCGGAAGAATAGAGCGGAACACGAAACCCTTTAACCCCCTAATCCCTTAATGAAGCCTCCCCTACCAACAACCATTTATTTCAAGCGTACAATAGTTTACGACATTGTTAATCCAAAATATTCTAAAATGTTAAACATTGATCAAAAAATGTAAATCAATTTTTCTTTACTTATAAAATATTGATTAAATTAATGAGTTGAAAATAGTATGAAAATAACATATAAATAAATATAAGAGGAGGCGAGGATGGCAATGGGTCCCAGGGGTCGTTTTCACCCTCGTCCTAAATATGTAAAATAACTTTTATATATTATTATTAGAAACATATTTTAAGTAGATAATGTTTCAATTGGTTCAAAATTATTGAAATTAGATAAAAGTGACGTTTTCCTTTGACATAACAATATTTGAATTAGGGATAGGATGTCGATACCATCATATCTTATATGGATTATTATGATAATTAAAAAAGATTATGTAGAGCCATATAATTGAATTCCTATTACTTTGTTGCAACAAATAAAAATATTTATCGTTACCGAATGTGACTAAATAGTTGGAAAAAGAAAAAGAAGACTTGTTTTCGTATTTTAAATCATGGTTTAGAGATATTTATGGACAGTTTGGATTTTAGTGTATCTCTGATAGATTTTCAAAGTTTATTTAAAATAGAGAATTAAAATTTTAAATATGTATACGTTAGATTCAACTTTAAGTCTTTAATGGTACGTTTGGTTTCGTAGATTCTGAAAGAATATGATGGAATTGAAATGTTGAATTTCATTGACCAAAATTTTTTTTTTTTTTTCATTTGGTTTTTTTTTTTTTTTTAAGAAATGAATCTTCAAAATCCTATAAATTTCACAAATAAATAAATTTAACATTTCTTAGCAACTATATAATATTTTGATGGAAAATATTCTCTATTTTCGTAATAACAAATTTGCCCTTAACCCAATATACATTAATCTCATAAAACTCAATATGACCACCGTCAATCTGAATCACAACTGAGCACCGTTATCTGAACCGTCGACCATCACCGATCTGAACAACCATCGATTTGATCCACATCCGACCATTGGCGACTACCACCGATCTAAACCAGCATCGCCATCACCAACTACCACCAATCTGAACCACCATCGCTACCATCGATCTAAATCACCGTCTATCTGAACCACCACTGATCACTTCCATCTGAACCACCGCGGACCACCATCGATCTGAACCACTCCCGACCACTGCCATCTAAACCACTGCAGACCACCCACCGATCTGAACCATCGTGGACCACCACCGATCTGAACCATCGTGGACCACCACCGATACGAACCATCGTGGACCACCACCAATATGAACCACCATCGACCACCGTTGATTTAGTAATGTCGTTTGGCTCATGGTTATATTTAGATTTTAAATTTTATATTGTTTTACATATTAAATAATTATTTTATTAAAATATTTTATTTCTAAAGAAATTAAAATTCTCAAAAAAGAAGATTTTGGTCGTTTACCAATATTTCATTTCAATTCAAAAGCTACATTATGTGAACCAAACTGACAGATTCCAATTTTTTAACATATTTCATTTCAACGTTTGCCATCCAAACAAGTCGTCAAATCTGACAACATTCCAGTCTTCAAAGTCAAATTTTTTTAACAGATTTCATTTCATCAAAAAACATTATGAGAACCAAACGTATCGCCTTAAAGATGGAGAAGGGGAGGAGCAGTTATCCCTTGACCTCTTCTCTCAAAAAAGACGCTGTGCGGGCAAGTAGATCAAAGTCGCTTACCCGGCGTGCTTCTTTTCATCTTATTGCTCAGCAGAAATCGAACCTACGAATTTGCCCGTTCTTGCGTAGCTTATTTCAAAGGGGAGGCAGTGGACCAATAAGCTAAAGCTTATTTATTTTAAAGATTATAATATTATTAAAATATTTTATACAATTAATAAAAGATCATTTTTCTTTTTTCTAAACATTTAACATCAATGTTTTTTTATTGATGGAAATATACAAAAAAACATTTTTCTATAATCATTTACGAGGAGTTCTTCAAATTTAAATAATTTCGCATTATCTTTTACCTTTTTTTAGGGCAAATTGTATGAAAAAGTAACGTACTTTAATTTGATTTATATTTTGGGTAATGTACTTTCAAAACTTTCGTTTTGGTACCTAAGATAAACATTTAAGTACCCGGGTAACTGGTTGAAGTATTAACCGATTATCATGCTGATGTGCCGAGTGATGTAGTATCCAACTCGGTATTATTTGCTGACGTGGTCAGTGACGCGGATTTTTTAAAATTTAAAATTAGTCTTTTTTTTAGTCTAAAATTAGTCTTTCTAAGTTACCCAGGTACTTAAATGTTTAAAACTTTACATCTTAGGTACCAAAATGGAAGTTTTGAAAGTACGTTATCCAAAATAGGAATCAAGTTAAAGTACGTTACTTTTTCATGCAATTTACCTTTTTAATATTTATTTTCTTATTTTAAAGAATCTTGTAGAAATAGACTACTAACTTGGTCATTGTCTGTAATGTATTAGGTAAATTTCATTTTCATAGAATATATCTTTTTAACAAAAAAGAGCAAACTGCTAAAATATGAAGGACTAATGTGCAATAAACATATAACTCATGAACTGAATGGGAGAAACAGGTTTAAAGAGGGGTAAGTTGAAAAATATAGAATTCAAAAATCAAAATCACCTAGTAAAACCCCCAATTTATTGGCGCTCGAACAGCAAGAGACCTATTTCATCCTACAGAAATCGAAGATCAACCTCTTCCTCAGGTAAGCAATCTCATCACTGTGATTTCTCAAATCGGTTGATATCTTGCTGCGAATCGTTTTCCTCTGTGATAAATGTCGGTGTTCATCATACCAGAAATCGAACCTGTTTCATCCTACAGAACTCGAAGATCGACCTCTTCGGTGAGAGATTAGGACTCTGATGGATAATAGTTCATTGATAGCTTCTTTTAATTCAAATTTTTGTGAACTTCTGATTCAAATTTGTACTAAATTGTTTTTATGCAATTGGGTATGTGGTAGTTCAGATGTTAATGTGATTAATTAGGGTTTTTATGTTTTTTTAAGAGATTCAATGGTTTTGATCTCCTAATGATGTATTTTTTGGTCATTTTACACGTATAAGCAAAATTTGCCAAACACTAGAAAACAACTTATCAGTTTATGTATTTGAAGAAAGACTGTGAGACCTCTGCATGTATTTGAAGTTTGAATTATTCTATGATTATGGTTCTTAAGAAAACTTGTGGTTAATGCCTGAGCAGAATCCCAAGTTGAATGCACATAAGGTGTTTGATGGAATGAGTGACAGAAATGTGGGTTGTATTTTCGTTTCTTGTAATCCTCTGATTGCATATTATGACACCGAAGTATTAATTGCGAGGGTAAAATGGTCATTCCTGTCATCAAGACAGTTCATTCAGCACAAAAATAAACAACAATTTGCAATGAAAAAACAAATAAACGGCACCTTAGAACCCTAGGTCTGTGCTCTGTCTTCTCTTTTGTTTATGATAATATATTTTCCCTAATTAAAATCCTTATTTCTTCTTGTCCCATATATTTGCTACCGCAGTTTAATTTCTAGCATAGAGCACATTGAGTTATAATTGCAATATAAGAATTCAGTTTACTTGTGTAGTGAGCCACTTTTATACATTTCTGATGCCTAAACGGAAGGCGAAAAGGGCTACTAAACAGTCTAATTCATCTCATGTGGATGATACTCGGTGTGATGTTGCTACAAATGGAGCTCCAGAAGAAAATGCATTCATTGACCAAGAAGGTATCTGCTTTTGTTGTATTTTCTAAACTAATGTAGTTTTGAGTTATGAAAACATAGTAAGACCATAATTGCGTAATTGATTGGTGATGATTTGTTGTTCCAATTAAAAATCCTTGTTTATAAAGAAGTTATAATTTTTAGGTCTTTGATGATGAAGTTACGGCATTTGTTCTGATCGAGAGTATCATTTTTTTTTAATCTGCTTACAGTTGGATCTATCAGACACTTTGATTAGTGAGTATCTGAGGCCTTTTGAGTTTTTTAATTTTGAAAACTGTATGTGTAGTTATTTGCCTTCTGGAATCAATAAATATAGCAGCTTGTAGAATTTTAAAGACCCTTTATGGTAGCTATTTGGTATTAACTACTGCGTTGACACTATCCATGTCAAAATTGTATGTAGGGATTTTTGTTGTTGACTTGAACTTTTAGTTTGGATTCTTGTAGGTCATGTACCATTCACTTGATGGTCTATTTCTTGTTAGCACTTAGCAGCACCAGCATGCCTTTCTCAATGACCTTTTGTTATCTAGAAACATGAAGCACTAGAGGTTATGAATTCAACAGTTATTAGAGATGAACAAAATCTTCAGACCCAAAATTGAACCACCTCAACAGTAGGTACTACGTGTAGAACAGTAGTTTTGAGGCCTATATGTATCTTGGACCTTGGTATTCCAAGAATGCCTATTTCATTTTTCCACTTTCAGCTGTTGATCTATGGCAGCTCCATCACTGAAATTACTTCCAAGAAAAGAGTCAGTTATGACATGCAACTAGTTTGTTGATGATCTATTATCACTTCATAGTACTCTTTTTTAAGAAGAAACTGAGCATGCTTCATTCATTCTCTTTTTTGTGTGCTTATTCAGTTGAACGCCAGACTGCTGCGATCAGGGCGATTCGTGATATGGAGATTGAAAGATTACTAACTGCTCTGCACTTGCTAAAATCCAATATGAGCAAGGAACAGCTACAGACTCCGTTGCTTCAATTTTTTGAGAAAAATCTTCCAAACCTAACTGTGTCAAGAGCTGGGGAAGATGGACGGATTGTAGTTAAACGGAAGGATAAGGATGGTGACTTATCCATGAACACTGCTGATGGTGGAAATGCTATCTCTTCATTTCTACAACATATGTCTATGGCTTATCCTGACTGCTCTACTGCAATGCCATCTATTGGTGGCTTTGAGTTTTCAAGTAGAGCTGGTATGTTATGCAATAAGGGTTTGAGTATCCATTTGATGCACAACAGTTTACCGACACCAGTTGAATCACTACTTTCATTTGTCTTTAAGTTCTCGCTTGGTGGCAGGTAAAACAAGCTTCATTGGTGCTGAAAATCTTCAGATCAAGGATTTTGTATGTTCTTATGCATTTTCCTCTGTCGTTTATTTGTTTTAACACACTGAATTAGTGGCTGTTCTCTTATTTGTCTCATGTTTTAGGTTCTAGAGGAGCCATCTGACACTCATATTCTTGGCATAGAAGATCCTCTGCAAACTCCTGGGGTATGCTGATCCAGATCATTTTTGTGTGTACCTGTTACATGAAACTTTTACTGTTCAACAGTCAACAGATTGGGAAAGCTGCATATTTCATTTTTTAATTGAACAATGTGAACAAGACCAAAAACAGCATTAATTGCCAGTAGAACTAGATATTTCTTCCGTTATATTTCTTTGATCTACAAGCTATAAGTTGGTGGCCTTCTTGTTACTGCAAAAAGGAAATTTGTATAGTGAAGCTCTGGGTCATGTGTCTTTGGTTTTCAGCTTTTTGATATTTGAAGTTACTACAATTGCAGGTGACTAGCCAGAGATTGTCTGTTGGCATGACACCTAAAACTTTAAGGCTTCCGAAACAGGGTGAGATGCTTCTGTCGGTTCATGGTTCACCCCTTGGTGTTTTCAAAGAAAACAACATGGACGCCATACATGGTAAGGTTATTTTAAAGGAGGTTGTTTTCTTCCTGTACACAATCATTATTCAAAGGGCATGTACATAATTTCAACTTACCTACTCTGTTGGGTAGTTTCTTGTTCCTGCACAATGCTAATTGGTTCGTCTTTTGAAGCAAACTTCTCAGTTAATCTAACACTATCGACCATCATTTGATTAGTTTCATTTCATTTGATGATTTCATCTGCAGAGATAGAGGAAGAATGAGTCGTTTCCTACAAAACAATACTGATATCTGGAATCTACTTCAGTTCTATTTCTAAGCGGTATAGCTTTGCATCTAGTTGTTTTTCTACAGTCGCTTCTGAAGAAATTGCCTTAATGCAATTCATTGTATTAAAAGTGTATGTTGCAAATTGCTTTCTCAAGATTGAGCTTCCAACTTTGTGTTATCAGGATACTTGCTTGAGCAGTTGCTTCTTTTCATTGTCATGCAGAAAAAGTATAAGATTTTCTTTTCTTCTGCAGATGGTGAATGCCTTAGTGTAAGGGTGGGTGCTTCTTTTATGCAACAAATGTTCAATATACACGTTTTGTATGGTCACCAGCGTATCTTGTAAGCATTGATGATTTAATTATTTAAAAAATGTCACATCATAATCAACCGATGCTATATAGGATGAAAACAGCAGTTTATCACGTAAAGTGAGTATGAAATATGTATAATTGAACATTTGTAACGATAAATGAGTGGAACAATTCATCGTTACATTTTGATCCAAATTGCCTTAAATTGAATTATTAGCTTGCTCCCATTTGTTTAGAAAGTAGCATGCACACAATAGAGAATGAAGAATAATTGAATATGATCAAACAAGGATAAGTGCATGTAAAATTGCAAAAGAAATAAGATATCAAGAACCTGATACCAAAAACAACTATAATCTGGAAATGTACCTGAACACTTTCGAGTCTTTGCTACATGAGATGATGGTTATCCTCTTATTATAAGAACTAGTATCATGTCCAAATTCAGATAGCTTGGTCACCAGTTGCAAACATCTAACTGAAACACAACACAACTTTCAGTTCTGAGCACAACTGTCTTCCACCTATACCTTATCTGCTGGTATTCTCAAATTAACTTTGGTAGGAATAGAATCTCGATTAGAAGATCCAAGTCCCCCTAAAGCATCTATAAAGAACCTTTTATTGGGGACAATATCATATCGGTCCATATGCTTCAACAGTTTCTGTAACAGCTCCTTGATGTTTGCGTTTGTGTAGGATCTATACAGAAGTTTATATGTTGAAGAATCTACACGAAACATCTCACTATTACAAGCAGTCTCAAACAGCCTATCTGCTTCCATTGGTAAGCCATTTGAGCAGTAGACATTGAGCATGACATTCAAAGTTGAAACCTTTACTATCTTTTCTCACTCCATCATCTTATCATATATCTCCCTTGCCTTGATACACAATCACAACATCTATACATCCTGATCATGCATTCATACGTGATGAAGTTTGGCATGTATCCCATGTCTGTTATCTTCTGAAAAACCAAATTTGCTTTCTCACTAAGTCGTGCTTTCCTGTAATTCGTTATCATTGAATTAAAAGTAGAAAGCGTAGGTCTCTCTTTTGACCGCAATGAGCTCTTAAACGCTTGTTCCATATTTTCAAATTCTTGCTTTCTTCCATATAATCAATCAACAGATTATAGCTAATGATATCTGGTTTTATCTGCTTACTCTTCATACGGGCAAGTACCCCTTCATTTCACCTATCATCCCATTCTTACCATAAGCATCCATCACACCGTTGAATGTGAAAATATCAGCGGTTGCAACGCTTTCTTCAAGATCTTTAGACAAAGCTTCCACCTGAACAACATTCCGTGCTTAAGCAGATGCTCTAAACATTTTTCGTGTCGTTTTTGGGAACCAATTTTCATGTTCACACATTGTTGTTTCATTCGCGACTGTTACGCAGGTGAAAAATACAAAAACATGCTTTGTCTATAAAACACATACAAGAACAAAACATGTGATACAAGTAGTTTAGAATCAAACTCATTAAATGTGGGTTTTGTGATTTTAATTTGATTTTCACTCGATATAACATAATACCTCTTCTAATTTGGTCTTTCCTTTGGTTGATTGTTTCACTTCCAACAGTTTACATACCTTTGGGAAAGTTATCAGTGTGTGTGTGCGTTTATATCACCATTGAAGACTGAGTAAACAAAAAGGACAACCGTAGGAGTTGTCCATTATGTCAGAAGTCATGAAACTTAACAAAAAATTCTTTTTATCTTACTCACACACCTCAATTTATTTATTTAGGGGCTGTTTACCCTTAACACTTACCTCACAGGATGAATATGTAAGGACCAAAAATCTTACCCGGTAAGAGCGAGACAAATATCATGAGTCTTACCCGGTAAGTGAGTACGACGACTCTTACCACAGTAAGCACTTACCGGGTAAATTGTTGCATACGATGTGTTTTGGTGGACTAAAATCTTACATGATAAGTAAATAAAAATGTTAAATTTACCGTTAAACACTTATCGGGTAAGTGTTTGATACACGGCTTCTTATTCTTCCAAGATTTGGATGATGTCTTATTTTATTAAAGAAAAAATAATAATTAGTGGTGATCTCAGGTCTGATTGAAGAGAAATAGGGATACGATGGAGCCTGGTGATGATATGTTTTGGTGGTGTTCTATTTTAACTGTTTTTTCGTGTAAACATCCACCCAATTTTTGTGGTTTAGACCACCACCTAGTTGTTGGGTCATATGATCCCGAACCTTCATGTAGCAACCCAAAATTCGAGTAGCAATAATCGTAGGAATTTGTCAAAATGACCCAATGTAACAAGTTTAAAATATTCAATACATCTTAAATGTTTGTAGCGTGTAAACACATCTAGAGCTGAGAATTAATACAATTCTAAAAGTAAGCTATACTCCAAGCTCTAGGTCAAACCACCGGTACGTGTATCACATCTTTCCTCCTTACTCTATATCTGTACATTTTACACACACACATATATATATATATATATATATAATGTATATATATAGAGTGAGAGGGAGAGAGAGAGAGTGAACATGGAAGGTTCAAATAAAAACAATAATCAAATAAGAAAATAAAAAATGAATATAGATCATACAATTTCATCAAAACATGCATTGAATAAACTTTTTTAAAAATAAATAAATAATGACACAAGTCATATTTGAAATAAGAATTATTTAAGGTATTTATTGAAGATTTTCTCTTTTACCACTTTTGTAATTCTAAGGTTATATAAGTTTCTATTTAGAAGATTTATTTTCTATTTGAGGCATTTCAAATAAGCGTAATTTGATTTTCATTTAAAAAATTTATTTTTTACTTAAGGCAATATTTAAAAAAAAAAAATACAATTTTCATCAAAATCAGATGTGATTCACAATTAATTAATATTTTTCTAAAAAAATTCTAACCTTTTTCCTAACTACATGTGATTTAAAGCGTGAAAAACAGTGATTCAAATTAAACATTGATAAAGAAAAATAATAGAAACAAAATTGCATGTAATGTGTAAATATAAACACATTTAAAATGTATAAGATCAGATTCACACACGATTCAAAACATAATTCATTATAGATATCACATGTGATGTTATGATAACTTAAATTCATTTTTACTTAAATTTACTATAATCAATATTACATGTTTACATTTTGCATGATTTTTTGGATAAAAAGAATGATTAGTTGTGGATATTACATGTGATTTTTGACGAAAACTAAAAAAATCTGAAATAAATTACTTCAATAAAAAAATGTTTTTAAATGAAAAAATTAAATCACATTTATTTTAAAATGTCATAAAAGATTAGTTAAAAACTAATCATGCTTAAATTAATAAAATTATAAAAAAAAATTGTTTGTTCGTTTATTTGCTTAGTTAAACAAGCGAACACGAATAATAGTACACTCAAAATCTATAGAATTCCTTTTAATTGGTGTTTGCATAATTATTATATTAATCCATCATAAAAATATTGAAACATTTAGTTTAATTACTCAAAGCTTTTGATTAAAATAATATTAACTGTGATACTTGTAGTTCTTACGAATAGGCTGCTTTGTAGTTTTTTTCTTCAATTAAGCTCACTTTCCATAAAATCTTGAACACTACCATACCAAAGTACCAATATGTGCTTCTTATTCGTCCCAAAAGCAGTCATCCTGATTCTTGATCTCGTAATACAAAACAATGGAGTTGTCTCTAGTTCTAATGTCGACACAGATCATGTTGCACTACCGACAATTCAATCCAAGATTACAGATGACCCTCATGTTCATGTTGTTGTAGCCATTTCACTATCATCCACTAATGCAGGTCTGGCTCTGGTGTCCTTTGTGTTGTTCTATTTCTGTATAAAGAAGAGAGATAAACCGTTATAATCAACATTGACTGAATCTTTTGAGAAGATTTCGTATGGAAGGCTTTTCAAAGCGACCAAAGGGTTCTCTGCAGCAAATCTGATTGGTACAAGCGGTTTTGGTTCAGTTTATAAAGGAGTTCTAGATGACAATGGTCAGGCGCCGGCTATCAAAGTACTAAACCTCCAATGCCGAGGAGGTTCCAAGAGTTTTATGGCTGAATGAGAAGCCTTGAGAAATATCTGTCATAGCAATCTGGTAAAGGTTATCCCTTCTTGCTCAAGTCTCGATTTCCAAAGAAATGATTTCGAAGGCCTTAGTGTATGATTTCATGCCAAATGGGAGTCTGGACACTTGGTTGCACTCAAGCACGACACTAAACCATTTGCCTCACGATCAGTTGCATCAACTTGATCTTGTTCAAAGAGTAAGCATTGCCAAAGATGTGGCTTATGCTCTTGATTATCTACACTATCGTTGTGGCTTATGCTCTTGATTATCTACATTATCGTTGTGGAGTTCGTCGTGATTTGAAGCCAAGCAACATTTTATTAGATGCCAATATGGTTGCTCATGTTGGAGATTTCGGGCTTGCAAAAATCTTTTCACTTGAACTTTCTGATGCAAACAAGAGTAGCTCAGGTCATGTCAGAGGAACCATTGGATATGCACCTCCAAGTAAATTGTTGATTACTAGTCCAACGATAGTTTTTGATACTATAATCTGTAAGTTGCAGAATACGGACTTGGAAATGAAGTGTCGCCCAGTGGAGACATATATAGCTACGGGATCCTATTATTAGAGATGCTGACAGGGAAAAAACCTGTTGATTCAATGTTCCGAGAAGGCCTAAGCCTGCATTCCCATGCTACAAGTGCCTTGGCTGGTGATTTTGTGCTTCAGATTGCGGATCCAATGCTTCTACGTGATGATGTCAAAGAAGGGTCTTTGATTTCATTACTGGAAATTGGAGTGCGATGCTCTTCTGAGTATCCACAAGATTGAATGGATATTGGTACCGTTATCCATGAACTCTTCTCAAACCTACACCCATATAGATAAAGCTAGAAATGTTTTATGAATAAAAAATGTTTGCTTCTTATTCCAACGATGATATGCGGTAGACTGATTGTAGCATGTATCAAATAAACAAAATAGTAATCATATATTATATTTTCATAATCATATTAATACTCATGATCATCTCTGTCTAAGGGGAAGATGGGAAAAGATTCCAAGCAAAAATGTCCTAGATGGTTGCTCTATACTCCGATACCATATGAGAATATGTGGAACCCCATTAACCGGCATGTAACTCTTAACATTTAGTAAGAAATAAATCAATAATTAAAAAAATACCTAATCAGCATGTCGAGTTTTCCACTCAACAAACGGGACAGACCCCAAAAGTTCATGTGGTGTGCACCAATCCAAAATTCTAAGCAGAAGTGGTTTTAACATCCTTTGCACCAAATTACTAAATACCAATAACCAAAATAAACACAAGCTAATAGAAAAGTAGCCAAACCAGTACTTTAAACAAACATAAACAATAGAGAAGTATAAAAAGACACAGTGAGTCATCCTGTTACCAGGCTGCACGGTCTTCCTTCTGCTTCCCTAATCTCTTTGCTGTTCGATGGTTTCTGCTCTTTATCTTGCTTTTCTTTTCCATTAGATGGGGTCTGCAATCAGCTTTCATTTCCCTTAACCTCCTCTAATGCATCATAACCAGGACAGCAAGTCCACCATCCCTGCTGTTTCTGTCCGTTGGTAAGGCGAATCCCCCTGCACCATGCTGAACTAGATCACAAACAGAGCAATCCAGATCATTTTCGTGTGTCCCTGATACGAATTGGGAATTAATTAAAAATGATGCAACTAAGTCTAGAATATTGCATGTGTATTCTAGAAGGGGTAAAATGGGAAATGAGAAAAGTGGCTGGGGTTTGTTAGAGGAGAGAGAAGAATAAATAGTGGAGGGTGATCTTGTAGTGAGTATTCTGTTTTCTTTCATAATTGTTTAGGCTCCAATCTGCTGATTGTGAGAGAGGGTTTTCCCTGAGTTTTATTCCTTTGTAATCTGTCCGATTCAAGTTCAATGAATTCATCATCTTCTTCCTTCCATTTCTGTATTCTTACTTGTTTTGCATAGAATTGTTATCGTTACCCATCAGTCCCTGTTACATAAGACCTATTGTTCAATGGTAAACAGGTTAGGATACTTGTACATCAGAGTTTTCATTGAACAATGTGAACAGGTCGAAAAAGAGTGTAATCATGACAAAGGTATCGTTTTCTTCTGCTGTATTTCTTTGATTTATTCATGTTATCAGGATACTTGCTTGACCTGTTGTTTTGATTTCATCGTCTTGCAGTAAAAGTGTAAGGTTTCTTTTCTTCTGCAGATGGTGAATCGAATTTTATTGCTATCCCATTCGTTTAGAAAGTAGCATAAACACAACAAAGAAAATGAAGAATAATTGAATACCATCAAATGAGGATAAGTACATGGAAAATTGCAAAAGAAACTACAAGACATGATGAACCTGATAAGATAATAATTCTAATCTGGAAATATAGCAATATACCTAAACAGTTTGTAGCAGTCTTTGTTCAGCAATACCTATACTTTGGTAATATCTACTGCTATTCTCAAATTAACTTTGGTAGGAATAGAATCTCGGTCAGAAGATCCCAGTGCCCCTAAAGCATCTAGAAAGAACTTTTTATTGGGGACAATACCATCTCGGTCCATATGCTTCATCAGTTTCTGTAACAGCTCTTTCATGTTTGCTTTTGTGTAGGATTTATACAGAAGTTTATATGTTGAAGAATCTACACGGAACATCTCACTACTACAAGCAGTCTCAAACAGCCTATCTGCTTCCATTGTTAAGCCATTCAAGCAGTAGACATTGAGCATGACATTTAAAGTTGAAACCTTTACTATCTTTTCTGACTCTATCATTTTATCATATATCTCCCTTGCCCTTGAAACACAATCACAGCATCCATACATCATGATCATGCATTCATACGTGATGAAGTTTGGCGTGTATCCCATATCTGTTATCTTCTGAAAAACCAAATCTGCTTTCCCTCTAAGTCGTGCTTTCCCATAATTCGTTATCATTGAATTAAATGTAGAAAGCGTAGGTCTCTCTTTTGACCGCAACAAGCTCTTAAACACTTGTTCCATCTTTTCAAATTCTTGCTTTCTTCCATATGAATCAATCAACAAATTATAGCTAATGATATCTGGTTTTATCTGCTTACTCTTCATACGGGCAAGTACCCCTTCCATTTCACCTATCATCCCATTCTTACCATAAGCATCCATAACACCGTTGAATGTGAAAATATCAGGGGTGGCAATACTTTCCTCCAGGTCTTTAAATAGAGCTTCTACCTGAGCAACATTTCGTGCTTGAGCAAATGCTCTGAGCAGAATGTTGTATGTCACAATACTAGGTTTGCACCGTTCTGTACCCTTCATTTTATCAAAGTATCCAAGAGCCTTAGATAAAGCCTTGGGCTTGTCCTTTGAGTGAAGGTGGGCAGTGATAAGTGCATTGTATACAGATGTATCAGGTCTGCACCCACTGTTTCGCATCTCTGAAAAGAGCCACATTGCCATTCGAGTTTGTCCCTTCTTTCCCATCACTGAAATTAGTTTAGAATAGACCCCATTATCTGCTACGTACCAACGTTGTTTTTGCATCCATCTAAACACCTAAGTGAAAGAGATATTAGTGTTAATCCAAAAGCCAATGCTCAAAGTGAAACTGGCCTTCTTTTAACAAACTCCATGATTTTAATGTTCTTTCAGAAATTCAACACTCTAGCTATGGTAGTACTTTCTATTTCATTTATCATCCAACCTTCTTTTCCTCAAATTCCAAGTAACCTGTTGTGAATTTAAGATTAAAAAGATAACCACTTGACCAAGAAAGCTTCAAAATCGGACATTTGCAGCTGAATTCATGTGTTTAAAAATACAAGTATGAAATCCTGATGGCAATTGGCAAAGAAACTATTTACACATTAACATACAAATTAAGTAAAATGTGTTTTACAAATTGAACTTCCATGAAAAATGGCTAACCTCAAGACATTGAAGCCACTTATCAGACTTGCCAAGCTCCTCGAACAGTAGAAAACAGTGCTCTGTCCTCACTAACTTGACGTACTTGTTTAGTGTCGACAGCAACGGCTTGTCATAGTTAAAGTTCTTCAAGAGTGTCCGTACCAGTTCTTGAGCCTCTGCATTTTCCTCAGACTTGGAATTTCTCTTAGATCGAATCGTTGAACCAGAGATAATTGCGTATCTGGTGGGTTTCTTACAAGGATATTGACGACAGAAGTTGAAATTTAGGGACGAAATATGGGTGAATTTCATATGTGTTGCGGGAATTGGAGGGAAATGGAGAGATCCATTAGAGAAATTTGCAGACATTTTTCAAAGTAAGGAATTAGGTATGAAGTGGCGGCAGGGATGTTGACGATCTTTAAGAAAAGGGTTAATTGCAAAAAAGGCCTTAAAGTTTTAGGTTTCTTAGTTTTGTCCCATTTTCATTCATGATATTCTCAAGGCAATATCGTTTTAGCCTTTAGGTCTCTCGATGTTTGCCAAGTTTTTTGAGTAAATGCTACCAGGGTAAGAGATGCTGATTGGAGTAAGATGCTCTGTCTGGACTCTGGAGCAATGATTGAGTGAAAAATATCTATTTACTACGGCATCTGCATTAAGTGCTGGATGGCAAAAGATTACCATGTCAATCATTTATTTAAACCTTCGTCCTTTATATAATTAAGTGTCGAATGAAAATTACAATTTTCACAACTTAAATATATTCATAAATAAAAAATATATCGAAATTCATTCATATTTACAAGTAAAATATCAAAATCAATGCTATACAAATATTGTTTTCAACTATAGAAAATTAAGATACTCAAAGTTGACATAATAATTTGAATATGCTAAACCTTAATTTGAAGCATTTGAAAACAATTGATTTGAAGTATGATCATGCAAATCAGCCATATATTCATTAGGTCATGATGTGCTTCATCAATTGCTTCCTTCGAAGTCCATTTATGGATATCTCATGTATACATGATTCAAGAATCTTTTCACCACATTTTCGTTATTCCAGGTAATCCTAGGTTTCTTGGGTTGTGAAGATTTGTCAACCTTTTCCATACATATCATGCATTCTTAACATACATTTGAATCATATATAATAACAAATGTTCGACATGAATCTAGAATAGTAGAATGTCAAAAACAACATCAACGTGTATTTTTCTTCAATCTGTGGCTTTATGTTTGTTAAAAGGTTTTTTATTAGTTCGAGATGGAATGCAATTTTTTTTCATCAATAATGGCTTACGTCAAGCAGCACCCTCATGTTCTGGATGACCGGATGAGAAATCTTCCTCCGACTCCGAGAAATCGATCACCTGAAATACTATTTTTCTGAAATTCACTTCCTGAAATCGTACTTTCTAATCTATCGTGGTTCCATTTCCAGAAACCTATTTTCTTTTTATAAATCGTTGTTCCATTTCCAGAAATCCTATTTTCTTTTTATCATTCGTCGTTCCGTTTCCAGAAAACCTTTTTTTTATATTAATCGTGGTTCCATTTCCTGGAATCCTATTTTTTTATATCAATAGTGGTTCCGGTTCCAAAAACACTACTTTTCAATCAACAGTGTACTTCCAGAATTTCTATCTTTGTAAATTGTTTAAGGTGGATTTGTAAAGCTCACTTCCAAAAATCCTAGTTTTAATAAAACTGGACAAATCATCAAAGCTAATTAGTATTAATACTGGTTCCACCTAAAACACTCACATCTTTGTAATTTGTTCAAGGTGGATTTAAATCCCACTTCTAGAAATCCTATCTTTAATATTGGTTCGACCAAGAAACTCTCATATTTGATACACGCATATCTTTAGATGAATATAATCATGTTTTTAGTTCAATGATTTATGCAGAAAGTCATTTATTGGAAAAGATGATTTATAACGCATCAGACTTGTTATTGCTGCTCCCTTTTTGTTACTGCACTCTATTTGAACAGGGTTCCTCCTTGGTACTGTTATTCTAAATCTAGACCTAACCCTTACAAAAAATCACCACAACAATGGCCGACTCCTCTCTGCCTCTCTCCATTACGACCTCCTCACTAGGTTTAGGGATCTTTTTTTTTCTAATTAGATAGCAGCAACATATAAGAGAACCACAAGACATTAATGACATTCATGAAAAAAAAAATCGAGAAAGAATAATAAAGCAATAACTGCAGCAACATATAAGACAGAAACAATGAAGAAATTGAGAACATCAACCTCAACACTTAATTTTTCACATTTTTAATGCATGATTTGACCTGATTATGATATAATCATATAAAGAAGGGTGCATATAGCGACACCCTTCTCTTTCAATCAGGGCCACTAATCTTGAGCTTTCTGATGCTCAAGGCCGAAACCCAAAAACCACACCCTATATATATTATAAAACTGAAACATACTATGTTTTAAAGGGTTTGGAACCTAGTCAACCTAAGCGCTCATCCCCCCCC